AGACAGCTGGAAATACACCACAACTGGCAACTGAATAGATCTCAATCATTCAGTGTGGTTGCTAGCTGTTAAGGTGGGCCTGCGGTGGGAGATGCTACTTGGTTATGGAGTCATACTAAGTAGATAATGTAGGATATCAGTGACTGATTATAATTTAAGTAAAAATGCCACACCTCTGACCATAACTGAAGAAGCAATGATCATATGATCTTTATGGCTGCTCAGTGTGGAACTAACGGAAAAGCATCTACTGCCCTTTCTTATGTTTTTTTTTTTTTAAAACCAGTGTTTCAAGGGACACTTTCAGATGGAGTAGCTGGGGTGGGCCAAACCCCCACTCTCCATAAAAATGATCTGGAAAATTGGACTATCAAAACTCCTATGTAATTGAGTCTGTGTAGGAATGAGGAATCAGAACTGTACGAAATGATCAACTGGACGCACCCACATACATGCACACAATATTAAGATAGCCATTGTAGTTGAGTCCTCCCAACAACAACAAAGGCTACATTCCATCTGTTTTGTGCACATTTTTCTGGGAGTAAGCTATAATGAACACTTGGAGAGGACTTAGTGTTACACATTGTGCTTCATATTTGAGGATGTTTGAATAATACTGAATGAGAAAAGTAATTTGCCCTGCTCTTGACTGTGCTCTTCACATGATTCTCTGCACCTGAAGTTTGGTTGATACACATTCTCTTCTGAAAAGTATTATGTGTACAATCCTGTATCTTCTATCTAATATATCACCACAGATTTAGCTTTTAAAGTAGTGTAGTGGAAGGATGAATCTGATAGCTCTTATATGTACCTTTTCATTAAGTAATAGGGTCTTACATAGTTTCCTCTTTGCTTGATATATTAACTATATTTCAAAAAATTTACTCGCTTTTATAATATTTTATTTATTATTTAGCCATTGCTTTCATGTTAGATTGTTCCCTGCTTTGATTGGTGGTGGTTGTTATTTTAATGCAGTGTGTTAAATAACTATTTCTAAGGTGAAAAGTGGCTCAGCACTGGCAAGTACTTCATCATTTCCCCCAACTTACAGGTATGTGGTGGGGTTTTTTGTTTTTTTAAAAACATATCTGTAAATTGGGGGAAATAACAAACTAGTTACCAGTGCTGAGCCACTTCCCACATTAAAAATAGTTCTGGGAAGCATGTATGCAATTGTGATATTCTGTGCACAATCTACAGTGGAAAGAGAGCAATTGCATCATGTGCAAGGGCTCCCATGCTGCAGTGTGTAAATGTATTAAAGTCCCCTCAGTTTCAAGCAACTCTACAGCTTCCAGACAATGTGTGAAGTCATCCTCAAGTGATGCTGGAGTGTCAGTAGTGGAATAGACACTTCAGATAGAATGGTGCAAGAAATACATTTATTAGATAACTAATATAAATATTTTAAGATTTTGGGTGTATCTTCTCTCTGCACTTTGCCTCTTCTTGGGTCAGATGAATGTTTGCTGAGTCTCTATCAGTATCTTCAGGAATGATTGAATTATTGTCTAGTAGCACCCAAGGCAAAGACAGGCCAATTTTAGTCATCCTTATAAGGAAATCCAACTCTGCATGAGTCACTGTAAAACCTTCTATTAAAGGGTCATGGTTCACAGAGTACACGCTTTCTCCGAAAAAAGTCACACACTCAATTCCTGGTGGTTCCAGGCAGGGCTTTATCAGGAACGGCTGGAACTGTTAAGCGGTTGCTACCTGCAGTGAACCGCTTAACTGAAGAATATCCAGCCCCTTAACTAAGGGCCTTTGCAGACTGCCAGAAATAGTGCAAATTGAGTCCATTTTAAGGGTTAGGGTTAGTGCTAGGGAATCATGGGAATTGTTGTTTTTTTTCCTGAGACATTGAGCCTTCTCTGTCAGAGAGCTCTGGTGCCACAATAAAATACAGTTCCCATGATTCCCTAACCCTAACCCTAAAAGTGGACTCAATTTGCACTATTTCTGGCAGTCTGCAAAGGTCCTAACTCCACCACCTGGGCTGGCCAGTGGACCTCCTGCACAGGGGAAAAAGGGCTTTATATTCTAGTTGGTCCTCTTTAGCAACATCTTCCAAAGCTCTAGTATAAAATGGGAAAAAAAGGAGATGGGGGATGAAGGAATCTAGCCACACCTAGGAGGGTGGTTTATTTTAGCATGAGCTCTCATGGGTGTCAG